GTACTTCGCATTCGAACAGTGAGAACGTATAAATGAGAACGTATAAATCATTTTTTGTGAATCATCCCTGAATGAGAAAACCAGCGAGTACTAGCTGTATTGCAAGGGAAAATTTATGAGTTGCAAGCAAGCGTTGCATTTCTGTATGGAATAAGGAAATATCAAAAAGAAAAATGAGGCAACGAGGGATTTTGAGAAAAAATCACAACAATGCGAAAAGAAGGGATATTTTTTAAGAAAAGTTGAGATGCCGCATTTCAATGAAAACCAATTTTTTTTAATAAAAAATAATGACCGGCAATTTTAGGTAATATTGTACAGTTTTTATAAAAACATATGTTTGTATTTGATTGAACTATGGTTTGCGCTGTATTCGGCCTTCTCGGGCCAAACGGTCTTTGAGCGATGGACCATCGGCCTGTTCAATGTTGCCTTCACCGCTCTTCCACCAATCATCCTGGGACTTTTCGACAGGCCAGTGTCCGATAAAACGATGCTTTCCTACCCGACACTATATTGCAGTTTCCAGAGGCGAGCATTCACAATTGGAGTAAGTTGAAATTTGTCTTGTGTTTTTAACACAGAATGCTCTAGAAGGAATTAAATTTAAGATGGTTTGTATTGTTACTAATGGGATGTTGCAGGGATTTCAATAAAACACTATGGGATTAAACTACGCATTCATAATTAACAAAATGTAGTACATATGTTGTGGGTAGGGTCTCTATGGCCAGTACTGTCTTTTATTATAATTTCAAAAAATTGTCCGGAGTTTGTTGTTTTCTATTTTAATCTGTAAAAGCGATTTGCAGCCCAGAAATCTCTCCGTTGTTACGAGTAGTTAATTTTTTTTTGTTGTTGGACATCTGAAGCGTATATTAATAGATTGGGGTGTTTTTACCCTGCATTTTAGGTTAAGGGAAACTTTAGCACTCAAATGGCGGTTTACTTGAGCTGCGGGCAATTTTTTTCAGAACAACAAAATGTGGCATAATGAGAACGATTTCTAAATAAGATTGAGAAGTTTTCTTACTGAAAACGTCATGGCTGGAGACGTTGAAATCATTTGTGCGAAGATTGCTTATTTTTTTGGAAACTTGTTTTGGGCATATTCTTGTTGAAATAGGCTCATTTGAAAAATGTAAAATGTCTTCTATATTAAGTTGGCCTTTTTCCAACAAAAAACGTTGGCTAGGATTTTTATTGCCGTTAGTACGAACGGATTTTGTTATGCACTTTTGCTCGAAACAGCTCATCAAACTCATCCACACGAGGCAGCGACTAAAAGTCGGATTAGCCTG